TTTATACGTTGTAATTGATCATTCCGACGATGTAAAACAATATCACGGGATTCCAAGTTTTCTCCGACTACAACGATAGCAACTTCATCAATAGTTGGTGCATTAAAACGTCTTGCCTATTGACTCGCAGGTGTTTTATCAGCTCTGATTACAATGTGATTATCTGATGGCATCAGATCCAGGGCTGTTTTAAACAATGTAATCAATTGATTGTGTTCATGAAATAAAGTTTGTAATTGTTCTACAATAGACCTCTTTACTAAATTGTTATGTGCACAACGCAGATTAGTTTCTTGTGATGAATTGCCCATAAAATAAATTTGCAGGAATTTGTAGTTGCTATCTGACACTGGTTACAGTGAAACTGCTCTGTGATATATTTGGCCTTGTATCTGTAAATTAAAAAAATATTGTTTGTAGCAAACACTATAAAATAAAATGAAATAAATAAGCAATGTGGGATATAAATTTATGGATCGTCAGTGATCAAACTTAAATACTATTTGTTCTTTAAAATTATATCCGTCTCCTAATTAGTTTTAACTAATATCTATCATCAACTAATTATATTGGGTTTCAAAATAATAAAAGTGTCGCTAAAACTGAATCACCAAATAATACGGGGACTAAGTGATTATGATCTTAATGATTAAGAAATTGAAGATTAGTAACATCTCAACTTAGCTTCGTTTTCAAATTTCAATGCCTTACAATATGAGCAAACCGAGTTCATAGAACCAATAACACATTGGTAGTTACTGTAGTCAATTGACACATCGTAACTGAAAGCAGCTCGATTCAAACTTGCGCGATTATTAGTTGAATGTAGTGTTCGTGATATCCGAATTCTTTCACGTTCATTTCGGTCGTCACCTTGTGCAACATGATTAGATCGGTAATTAGCTTGGTTTGTAGCATTTCGGGTTCTTCTACCTAAATTGCTTCGTCTAATAGGAGGCATCTATATTATAGATTGTTTTGTTAATAGTTTCGGAACGCGACATTAAATCCTCCAACCATGTATTCCGTGCTCCAACGCACACAGGCACACTGTTTTGATAGATATGATTCAATTTGACCTTTGTATAACGGTAATAAATTGCAATTGACTCTCTGACGTTAGGAACATACCTACAACAAAGAGTGCTTGTGCTACTAACAACAATGAGTGCTTTATACAATAGCTATAAAGCTCAAATTGACTACGTTTTAGTTAGAAAACGTTTGTATGGGAAGAAGAAAAAAGCTGCTTTTAGGGTTTTTCCGGCAATTATTCGAATTTTTCAAGACGTAAAAACCATCCTTGAACTTCAACTAACATTTAAAAAAAAAGAATTGCCTAAATTGGTCCAGGCGTTGTTTAGTTATGAGCTTACCAACACCTTTTGCGATTTATTTTTATATTATAGAAGATTAAGTTCTACTTGTTATCCAACAAAGGAAAAGAAAAAAAACAATTTTTCATAATAAAATCTTTATAGTAGGAAAACTACATATTTAAAAATGTTTAAAATATATTAATATTTAGCATGTTTTACTCGTACACATTGCATTCGTTGATCTTTCATCTTTCATTAAAACTAATAACTCATCACATAAAAATTTACATTCAAATTATACTCAATAGAACTTGCTAATATCACACAATTTAGACCAAATACTGAAAGATCCAACATAAACTTAAAACATTTTACAGACTTTTCAATACATACCAATAAAAATATAAAAAAATCTTAAACACTAATATTTTTGCAAACTCAATGTAAATTATTAATATTTAGACTACTTTAAAACTATCATTTTTAAATGAAAAATTCTAATAATAGAAATCTCCCTTAAATACTTCATTATTACAAAATCATTAGGTATATAAATGAAAGAAATTCTGTTGCACTTTGAATATGATGTTTTACATCACAAGGCGTATGGACATCTATTTTGTTGAAAGTCTTGAAGAACTTCACTTTTTGGTTCTGAAACAAATGCATTTATGCAAGTCAAATTTTATATATGCTGTAGGATCATTGCTCAAACACAGGATGCTACTAGTATAAATGTACTTTTTTTTCCAAAATTTGTGACATATCTGAAGTTCAAGTGCATGAACTTCATAAATTACTACAGTGTCTAGCAAATAATATTGAATTTAAAAACAAAAGCTTAGTAATAAATCGCTTCACTTGCTTTGCTTTTCCTTTAGACTCCTTCACACCAGGATTTTTACCAGTCTTCTTTTTTGGATCATGTATCAGATTGAATTTTCCGCCACAATTTTTTTGATGATCATTCCACCACACATTTGCGCTGGACGGTGGTCTAAATACAGCACTGACTATTTGTTTTTTACATTTTCCACTACACTCCCAAAAGTAAGAATAATGGTCTACTTCATCGTGGAAATCGTGATCCACCTGCGAACATTATTAATGAAGTCACTTCAATGCATAAAACTAACTTCCTAAAATGTTAGGTCATCTTTTCAGGGTAATGGTGAGTTTTCATCTAAGCTAAGCACTTCAATGACATTTTGAGCTTTATTAAATCGTTATCTGACATTTGTTTCAAGAAGATTTTATCAAGAGCCTTTACTGGATTGATGATTAAACAGGTGAGTGACCAAATTGTAATAGTCTCAAGTCATACCATTTGATATACTTTATGAAAATCATGTAATCAGGATGACCAGCGATCTCGCTTTTTGAAATTCAATGGTTTTCCCGGTTTTCCAAGACTGAAAAATACTCCAGAAGAAGACCTAAAAGGCGGTTTCGTCGAAGACGAAACTGGCGGAAAAACTCTTCTCAAAGGGTAAGGGAGACTCTCCAGATGAAGCAGATTTCCCTAAGGGAGAAAACCCTGATATCAAATCCGGCTGGCTCTGAAGTAGTTAAGTGGCAGCCCCACTACCGGGATTACCCTGCACAATGCCTATAACGCGGTCAAGGGACCATTTCAGTTACTAAAAAAATCTTCACACAGAAGCCGGGTAAATCCCAAGTACATACGGGACAACATAAGGGAGAGAAGGACAAGCAATTTGGAATAAGGGATAGATAAAGTTGCCACATGGCATGTAGGTACTAAAGAAAAAAAACTCAATAAATTGAAGGAGAGTAGCATTATTATAGTATTTTTAACAGAAACGAGGGAAGAGCTCAAGGTAACCGAGGATCTTGACGATTACACTATGACCTATTCTGGAGTAGACCAAAGTAAAAGAGCAAGTAGTGGAGTCGCAATATTGATTGTTAGGAAATGGACCTCTAAAAGAGTAAGTTATTGTAATGTAAATTAAAGAATAATAATAAGATTAAAAATAGAGAGAACATATCTAAAAAGGTGGCTGGAGTATATGCCCCAGAAAAATGAAAAAAAAGACTATACGACAACTTTTATGAAAAATCTACAGAAAGTTATTTCCTAAATTAATAACTGTTCATTTGATAATTAGTGGAGATTTAAATGCAAGTGTTCCAAACAAACCAATGTCTAAGATAGTTGGGACCTTTGGGGAGCAGGTAATGAAAAGTAACTATAGAATTAAGGAATTTTGCTACATATAAATGAACAATAACGAATACATCGTTTAGACACAAACATATTCATAAATATACTTGGAATACTAGGATGGAGATCATTCATAGATTGTGTTATAGTTAACGAGAAATAATCAATACTAATTCAAGATACAAGAGTTTATAGAGGCAAAGATATATACTCTGATCGATCACTATTTGGTTGTCTTAACTATTAAATTCTAAGTAGATGGAAAAATCTAAGCTCCAAAAGAAATACAAGCAATGCAGGTGGTTTTAAAGTAGTTCCTCTACAAGAATAGAGTATTAAAAAGCTTTATGAAAAGATACTGGATAATTTCTTAGAAAATGTACCAACAAGCGATAAAGCAAAGATAGAATGGGAAATAAAACCTGCATAGAAAAATCAGCTTTTGAAAGACTAGGAAAGAAGAAGTTCAGGAAAAAGATAGGACTGAAGAGTATGGAATGAACAACTTAAAGAATCAATGGCAGAGAAAAAGAAAGCATACTTGAAATATATTCAAACACGGGATGAAGAAAGAATGTAAATGCTTTAGACAAGAGGTCTAAAGGCTACCTCGCGTCAGGTTGCATGGGATCACATTATAAATAAAATAGAAAATGATATATATGGTAAGCAAGTACTACCCTATAATGTAATGCGACACCTGAATCAAAAAGATTTCGTTCAATTGAAAGGTTACAGATTAAGAGAATTGGCTGCAATACTATAATAATCTATGGTACAACCCACTGGAAGAACAAGACAATATTGATCTACTAAACGATTTCGAAAAATCCTTCGGTCGAGTTGACAGGAGAACATTATGGGCCATAATGGGTAGAAGAAGCTTTTCAAAACCTTAAATAAACGTAGCTATAAAAGCACAAAGATTCGAATAAAAATGAATTAACACCAATCACAACCATTAAAAACTAACCAAGGATTAAAACAATGATTCAGACTTTCCCTAATATTATTTAACATTATATAGACTAAACTCTTAGAGAATGGAAATTAAAAGTACAAAAAAGGGAGCAGATTGAACGGAAATAATTACATCAATACTCTGCTATCTGCCGATGACCAAGTTATTATGTATGAAAAGGAAAATTTTCTCCAAATGGCACTCCATCAATCAAATATGTGTAAAAATTATAACATGAAAATATCAAAACAAAAACGAAGGTCATCTTGAGGTTAGAGTGCGTCAAACGCTTGCACTGTATTTCGTTGACTTATTTCATTCTTTTGCTGTTAAAATGGCGCATGTGTGATATACGCACAGGTTTCCTCGAGCCTTTGAATACTTTCCTTCATTTCTCTACTAATAGTTTAATTATGAATAAATTATATACATTATATATACAATTTATTTATCGTATGGGTCTATTTGCGGAGAGACTGCCATCAGCTAGTTGTTCCGCACCCGAGCGTTTTCGACCCAGGATTCCTTGGAAGCCTTCCCCGGACGCGAATCTAGGTACCTTTATCGAGCAGGCACACCTCGCGGGCGCTCTAAATGCGCCTGGAATTTGACTTTCTCCGCCAGAAGTCGGTCTGGGTTAACTATATCCGACTGTCTGGTTGAGAGGAAGTGAGATCTCCTTAGGGTGGAATATTGACGGACGGATTTAATTGTCGGGTATAACGCCAGGGTTCTTTTAAACGCCAGAAGTGTGACGTGGCTACTGTGGATTTTCCACCAGTTGAAAATCCGGGTACCACGGCCGGGAGCGAACTCGCGCACTGGGCTTCAGAGTAAGTTAATCCCTCGCCCACCGAGGCCCTCCGGTAATAACAATGTTCTTTGCTAACAAAAATCTGATAATCAAATGCTCACTCCCGTACAATTTGAACTATTTTGCATCTAAAAACTAGCTACAGATTTGATATTAGAGTTCAGTCGTCAAAATAACCAATCACCACTATTCTCGTATCTAGCGAAATGATGGTCAAGAAAACGCGCGCAGATATTAATAAATGCTTCAAACATTGTTTACATTTTTTTCTTTTCATAGTGTATTAAATTTTGTCATTTCATAGTGTGAAAAATTTAGGTGTAGGTAAATAAGAAAAGTATATTAACAATGCCAATAAAGATGTAAAACCGGATAATGGGTGTGCGAGTTGGTCAACTCGGGCTACGGTTGTACGAATGGCCGCGCGAGTGACGAAATACTAACAAGGGAGATAGTTTTGTTGCTTAACTTTTGAGTTCTGGTTAAACAAAACAACGAGTCCAAAATAAGGAATTTCTCAACAAACAAAATTTTTTCATGACTTCAGGACGAGGCTCGGTTCGTAACCAGATGCAGAATACCCAAGACTATGTCCCTGAAGCTTTTAGAAGAAAAAAAAACATTTCAGGAATACCCTTGAAATGTCAATAAGCCGAACGCCCACGCATCAGCACTTAATAGCTTTAAGCTGTTGCCCTGCAGCGCTTTTTCCATCTTGTGGTTGGCGATTGCAATGGAATTTTGTCATCCAAAGGATACCGTATGTTGTACCTACACACGCGACAGTGTGAATGTATGTAATGTGCGAATAAAGGACTACGCAATCCTCAAGCTTATGTGTAGCACTTTCTATATATTTATTTAGAATTTCATTCGCCATTATCATGAAACGAGTTGCATCGAACATTTTACTGAATACGATGCCGTGTGTGAATTGGTACTAATTGTTGGGGATAAAATCTTAAAATCATGTAAAATCTCCGTTTTCAAATCAAATTCCTGTTTTTTTTAGTTCTTTTAGGTTTTCTCAAATTACCGGTTCGCTGGCCATCCTTTGTAATGGAAGATATAGCGTAGCAGAATTTTTAAACGTGGACGTTCTATATTAACGATCTTTTTACAGCATTTTATATTGAGCAACTAATTTCCTATGCATTACCGTGAGGTTAGTGCCTGCAAGACGATCAATGCGTTCCATTTGTTTGAAGAACTTTGGTCCATGTTCTTCTTCTTCATATTGACCAGGAACAACAGCAAGATATGCATGAATCATTTCATGCTGAAAGAAAAACAGATCAATAGATTGAGATTCATATCAACAGATTAAGTAAAGTTCTTATGCTTGAAATTCATTTGATAAGATTAAGAATTAAGCCTTATTAGAATCTCCCAGATTTGCATATAAATTTAAATTCTCTCAATATACATAGCACTAATTTGTTTAAAAATTTGCTTCAATTCTTTACAAAACAATTTGCACATGCAATAATTATAGTAGCAATGTCTAACGTTAATTATAAACATACTAGGAGAGTTTCCACTGTATCTTTTCGTGGCCGAAGCTTGAGTAAAGGTTCACTGAGCTGTATAATTGGTGGATAGTCATCCCTGCAGTTCCCGACGGATCTGTAGAACATGAAATACAAAATTTCAATGAGCTCATAATCGTGTACTTAAATGTCCGTTTACTTTAGTGTTGTCCCTATAAGTTTGCCAACTTGCTTTTGTCTGTACATTTTAAGTTTATAAGATTCCATGAAGTCATTTTGATTATAATAGTGAAGGGAGATTAAGTATGTTCCATTGGTAGTTATTCAAAGTAATGACCAGATGTGTGTGTAACAAAACTGGCACCAATAACAAGCACAAATCTCATAAGTATATTATTTTATAACAAACAAAAACATTTCACCACAAGCCACTGTATAAATGAAAACAATGTATCCTGATGATTATGTTAACTACACCTTGAAACGTTGTTTAACAGTTTCTAGAGTTTAAATAAATATTTATTTCACATGAAACCAATGAGATGCGCTTTCTATACCTAAGATTGAAGCATTGTAACCTATTAATATGCAACCAATTAAATCTCTTTCACAAAGAGCCTTCACGAACCCTTCAATAACGTATTGTAAACGTGGATGCACAATACAACAATACTTTATATATAAAGAATATAAAAAGTTGCTGTTCCATTACATGTGAATATGAAGTGTAATGGCGATCGGTCCCTTTCGTGTAGTCTTGATGCATGACGACGACTATGTAGTAGGCAGCGACGGACAGTATGAGAATTCTGTCTACATGCAGTACGCGAAATCAGTATTTACATTTTTCATATTAATCCGAAATACTTTATGGTTTTTGGACTTTTCTCGAGTTTCTGGGTATCTCGAAGCTCTGGACACTCCGCACATGACCGGAGGCTGCAGAGTTTTCTTTCAATTTTTATGCATATAGGAAATCAGTCCTATAGATGTGGCAGAAAAAGTGGGAATCTGGCTTATTACAGAATTAGTCTTAAACTTAGCGCGCAATGGGTGGGTACGATACAGACGGGATTTTTGAAGTTTATTCTTGGTTTCCGTAAAAGTGGTTCACACACTACACGTCATGATCCTGTCCGCACCTACGCCGTTTGCAAGAATTCCGGAGGATCCATTTGGGGACATTCTAACGAGCCGTTCCGTCTGCACCGATGAGGTCATCTATCAGTTAAGGCGCGTGCGAACGTGGATGGCCAATTAATTATGTTGATCCATTATTACCAGGAGTGGAACATGATATAAAGTAGTATTTAATGTGTTGCCCAAAACACTGAAGGATAATTTAGCAGGCTAGCTAAACTTTCTGTATCAAAGAATTAAGTTTTTAAAATTTTAAGTACTATGAAGGAAGATGTGTGTAAGAATATGCAATGTACAATATTAATGCAATATTCAATACAATATTAATATGCAATGTACATTTGTGCATGATTAATAAATTCGGCCATATTTTGGATTTTTTATTAATCATGTAACTTATCTCTGCTTGCCTCAATTATGAAAATTGTGTCTCCAAATTAGTATTTACGTTTCCAAATAAATTAACGCAATTATGATTCTATCTCTTAGTTCAATATAATTTTACACACCCCAACACGCTTTTACTCAAAGTGTAAATTTACTATTTTTTAGTGGTATTAATATTATGCAATGGGCACTAACAAAAGTGTGCTTTAATAAAAGTCCATTTTGTTAGCTTTAATTTTTGTATTTTCATCTCCTACCAATAGCACCGTTATTCCGCGCCCGCTATTCCGCGCCGGCCCGCGGCCTCCGCTTTTAACTTATTCTTATCGCGGTTTTCCTGCACTTACACATTCATTTGTCCTATTTTTATCCCCGACATCGCCATCTAGACAATTTCATCCACTTCGTCCGACCGGTTTGCGATATAACCTGTCATTCATACTTCTGTCTGACGGTAACAATTCATCTCTCCAGTGAACAAGAATTATTCCATTTACCTCGAATAGGCTTCTTGAATGAGACGAGTTAAATTATTTTTCTGATATTTATCCGATTATAGTTAACAATCGTTAGCCCCTTATCCAATTATAGTTAGCAATTGTCATACAGTTTTAACTTTTTCAATAAATAAATCATACTTACACCTTCAATCGTTTACTCCAGGCCACTGTTACGTTGTGCTTTCGGAGCGCACCATAAAAAAACTTTTTGTCATATTCTATAAACAATTCCTGTAGATCAGGATTGGGATTGGTAAATTCCAATTCTGGATCAACAATAGAGCCTTTCTTTCCTGCTGTTTTGGGAGATTCAAATTTCAACTTTTTTTTATTCTCGGCAGCAGATTGTTTGGCTCCGACGTTAGACGTTTTAGACCCCTTCGTCTTCTGTACATCTGAAGCAGTGTGACATTTTTTGAATTCTTTATGTCCACATTTAGAGCATTCAATAAGACAACCCGAGTTCAAGCAGCAGCAACAAATCTGGAAAAGAAATGAATACGTATTTTTGTTTTCGAAATACTGGAACCTAACTAGTTTAATCAAGAATATAATGTTGATTAACAAAATACTTATTCCAAATGCATTTCTCAATATAGAATTAAAATTAAGCTAACAATTTTAATTCTATGAACACAAACAAATTTTAATGTTATCAACTGGATCAATTTAATATCCAACCATTATTGCATTATCAGCATGCGGTATAGTTACATCCATTCGATCATAACTAATTTAATGCTAATATTTCATTAAATTATTTGCTATGAGCTCTTATAATCCACCGTTTAAGCCTTCTTAATGTTTCCCTCGCGTTAGTCCCTCGTAGTTTATGGACCTCAAGGCCTCCGCGGCGTCTGCCGGTTGGGTCGGAGTGGGATACGACGGGCCGTATTCCCCCCACGTTGCTGCCCTCTGACGGTTCGGAGAGATTGAACGATTACGATGGGACGGGACGGGAAGGAAAGGACGTGCCCGAGGCTCGCTGCTTCGGCGTTCGACAGGATGTGATCAAGGCGATCACTTATCAGATCAATTGACTACAAATTCGATTCCGGCAAGCTCCTGACGAGAGAACTCCCGACCTCCCAATTGCCGCTTCGCTAGAGCCCTAAGGCGTTTTTCGCTTGCCGCCACTGCTGACTCAATTCTTACTAAGTCTACATTCATATTTCAAATGTCAACATTTACAAAAAAATATTTGGCTGAATAAAAATAAGGAAACCTCTAGAGCCTGTCCTAATCATGGGCTCAGGGGAGGGGGGG